GGGGACCTGGAAGACCTAGAGCCAGCCCTGAATAAGACCAAGACCAAGCCTTCCCTGGGCTCAGGCTCCTGTTCCGCCCTCATCAAGCTGCTGCCTGACCAGCGTGACATCTTAGTTGCCCACAACACCTGGAACAACTACCAGAATATGCTACGTATCATCAAGAAGTACAGTTTCCACTTTCAGGAAGGCCCCCAAGGTAGGTGGATGGGGGTGGGTATATAGGAGGGGGGTGGTACTAGGAGGTGTGGGTCTTGGTAACCCTGCCCCCTCAACCCCATACATATCATGGTCACCATAGGACCATTCCAAGAGTTCATCTTGTTTTTAACATGTTTATTTCCTTTCAGCTTTTATTTTTACAAGGTGTATCAGTTAGCTATTGCTACATAACAAGTCACCCCCACATTTAAAACACCAAAAGCTTTAAACACCACCATGTATTTTTTGTTCCCACATTTATGGGTTGGCTGGGTGGTTTTTTGTTCTGGGCCAGGCATGGCTGATCTTGGCTAGCCTCACTGATGCATCTGCAGTCTGCCAGAGTGAGCTGGTTGACCTAGAATGGCCTCATTCACATGTCTGGGGGTTGATTGTCAGCCAGATGACAGGGATGCCTGGGCCACATTGTCATTTATCCCCAAGAGGTGAGCCCAAGCCTGTTCATGTGCAGTCCAGATTCAAGAGGTGGGGGGAAGAGATCCCACCATTTCATGGCAGGAATTGCAAAATCACATTGCAGATGTCACACTGGAGAAGGGCCTTAAAAAAGAAAAAACAGGGCTGGCCCGTGGCTCACTTGGGAGAGCGTGGTGCTTATAACACCAAGACCACGGGTTCGGATCCCTATATAGGGATGGCTGATTGGCTCTCTTCAGAGAGTGTGGTGCTGACAACATGAAGTCAAGGGTTAAGATCCCCTTACTGGTCATCTTTTAAAAAAAAAAAAAAAACAAGTCACGTTGCAAATGGTGCAAATAAAGGCATGGGAAGAATTACAGCCATTTTTGCAAACAACCAGCTACACAAGGAATGCATGATACATTCTTCCTGTCCAGTGTGAGAACTTCATGGCTAAGGCTCACGTCCCCCATAGTGCCCCCGCCCCATCCCAGGCTGTGTCAATCCTGGGAATACCCTGCCAAATGTTTGCAGTGGCTCCTTCTTGGCCAAAATTAAAAGCTCGATGATGCCAGGAGGTGGTAAGAAGGTGGGGAAGTGTGCATAACATCCTTGTTCACTGCTGATGGGAGGACAAGTTGGCATGGGCCACCTTGAAGAGGAACCCAGGTGGCATCGAATGAAATTCAAAATCTGTCACTCAAGTGATCCAGCAATTCTCGGACTCAGATCTGTCCCTAGAGAAACATTTTAATTTCTGCACAGGGAGTGTGTACAGGGACGTCCACTGCAACAGAGGTTTGGAAACAATGTAATGTAAATTAATTTAAATTTAAGTAAATAATATTCCCTAAGTATACACACATTTTATCTATTCATTCCTCAGTTGATGGACACTTGGGTCGTTTTTACCTTTTGGCTTCTACACTAATCTCTGTAATTTAAAGGAATTACTTAAGTAATAAATGTTCAATGTAGAAAGTTAGAAAATATAGTAGATCACCAAGAAGGAATAAAATCACTTATAATCCACCCTGCCCTGTTACCCCCTCTGTGAAGAACACTGTTGATGTTGATTGTTTTCTCTTCCAGTTTCAGCTGTTCGGATTTTGCCATTTTATTCTTATTTATTTGTGGGTTATGGCTCCTTTGGCCTAACCCTGTGCAGATGCCCTCACCCCAACCTCAGCACCCCATGTCGCTGAAGCCCATCCCTTACAGGTGCAGGCCTGGCTGCACGTACTGCTTACCCACTCTTGTGCTAGAAGCTCCTTACCCTTGAGATCTCGTAAATGAAATCCTTACAGCCACCCTGTGTGGGGGTGAGAGAGTGTTATTCCCATTTTGCAGATGAGGAAACTCAGGCTCAGACAGGCTAAGTAACTTGGCACAAGCCACACAGTGAATGAAGAGCTGAGCCGGGATTCTACCCAGATCTCTTCCCTCCAGAGCTGGTGCTCTCTGACTTCTGGGTGTCACCTCTGGATTATTATCTTTTTCACAGTAAGTCTTTGCAATTAAAAAAAAAAGTACCAATAAACAAAATGTATATAAATAGATTTATAAAAATGTATATATTTACTACATATACCTGTTTTGCTATCAGTTTTTTACACACAGACCCTTATACATGTTTTTTTTTTTTTTTTAAAAAGATGACCGGTGGGCCGGCCCAGTGGCGCACTGGAGAGTGCGCCGCTTGGGAGCGTGGCGGCGCTCCCGCCGAGGGTTCGGATCCCATGTGGAGGCCGGTTCCCGCTCACTGGCTGAGTGCGGTGCAGGCGCAACACCGAGGGTTGCGATCCCGTTGCCGGTCAGTAAAAAAGACAAAAAGGAAAAAAAAAAAGAAAAAAAAAAAAAGATGACCGGTAAGGGGATCTTAACACTTGACTTGGTATTGTCAGCACCACGCTCACCCAGTGAGCTAATCAGCCATCCCTATATGGGATCCGAACCCGTGGCCTTGGTGTTAATAGCACCACACTCTCCCGAGTGAGCCATGGGCCAGCCCAGACCCTTATACATGTTAAATGACCTCGTTTCTAAGTGATAGAAAGGGCAGTGTGGGGACTTCCTCTGAGGCTTGCTTGCTCTCCACCTTGAGACCCAAGTCTGGTTGGGGAGGAGTGCAGGGGTCTCCATATGGGCACATTCGACCAGCTCTCCTGGCTCGCTCTTCCCCCACAGGGGCCCCCCTCATTCCTGGCAACAAGGTGGTCTTCTCATCCTACCCTGGCACCATCTTCTCCGGTGACGACTTCTATATCCTAGGCAGTGGGCTGGTGAGTTGCCTTCTCATGTCACCTTCCTCCTGGGGAGTTTCCTCACTTAGCTCCTCGGGGCCCACAGGATATATTGGTTCAGCCGGCTGTGACCAGGCTGCACCTGCTACCCTGGGGCCCAGACTCGTCATTCCTGTGCTGTGGGACCCCCATGAGGACTTGCTAAAATGCAGCTCTAAAACCTGCAGCTGGCCCCGGCCTCTGACATGGTCGTGGGGACTTTTGGAAACATCCTAGACCTCAGGGATGTCATTTTGTTCTTTTGTATTCAGGATAAACCATCCTCCCCCCGTGACCCTGTTCTCTCTCCTCCCACCTTCCCTCTTGCTTTCCATATAATCTCTCTAACCCAGCCAGGTTGTCTGAATAGATGTTGTTTACAGTGTGTTGTTTTTATGGTTTAGAAATGTGTTCTTGGCACCCCTAGCCAAGGCAGCGAGCCCCTTGATTGCCAGGGCAACGCTGCAGAGCAGAAAAAACATCTCTTTAAAAAACACCCTCAATGCAGAGGACGCCAGTTCCCTGCAGGATGGGAGGGGACAGACTCTTCTGCTTATCTTTTCTATTACTTTTTTCTGAGTGTGGAAAGAGGCAGGAGAGGGCCAGGTGATGGGGGAGGGGAGGGACAGCTGAACTGGTTTCATCTAGTACAGGGAAAGGGTCAGGGCAGGAATCTTCCCTTCCATGGGGGTCCTTCACTGTTTTAGTGCCACAGACCCCTTCGTCAGTCTGGGAGGCTGGTGACCCCCTTTTCAGAATGTTTCTAAATGCATACACCAAACTAAATAGGGTTATAAAGGAAAGCAGTTATATTGAAATATGATTGTTAAAATATTATATAAGTAAACTTTTAATATATATGTGCTGCTTTATTAACACATTAAATAAGATCTAGCAGTGGGTGTGATAACTACCATAATTTAAAAGCAGCAAAGAGCATAAAAGGTATTTTGAGACATGTGCAGCCCTGTGATATGGTGGAAAACATCTGTGATTTCTGTCAGTGACAGTCTCAGGTACTGCTGCTACACCACGGCCTGATGCCTGTGTTAACAGCGGAAAGAAACGCTAAATTTCAGTTTGATGTTAGTGAAAGTAAGTATCCAAGTATATAGACATAAGTTTATAGACTCCTGGAGCCCTCTTCGTGGTTAAGGACCCCTGTGCCTCAGCGGGAGGAAGCTGCCCTGAAGGCTTTTTGAGGCCTTGCTGGTCTAACACTAAGAGAAACTTTGAAGTACAACAAAGGTACAAAGTCCCAGGAGTGGAAGGAGCTGTTCCTACATGGACATCATTATTGAAAGGCTTGCTTTATAGATGTCCTCTTTAAAAAAAACCACAAGGGCTGGCTGGTTAGCTCAATTGGTTAGAGCTCAGCCTTATGACCCCAAGGTCATGGCTTCGGATCCCATGCCGGCCAGCGGCAAAAAAAAAAAAAAAAAAAAAAAAAATCACATTTATGGATACTGCTATCTTTAAGCTGTTTTGGGCTTCCTTGCATAAAAAAGGAAGAATCATGCAAACATCCTGCTGCCATGCATGGGAACAAGCACTGGTTTAAGAGTCATAAGTTTGGGATAGAATTGTGGCCCTTCCATTTCCCAGCCATGACCTTTGGCAATTCTCTTAGCTGCTTCTCGCCTCAGTTTACCTGTCAGTAAGAAGGAGACATCAATACTTGTGCTGTGTTGTTCCCAGGAGGGCTACAAGAGCTAATTGAGATCATGGTTGTGCAAACTCTTCCTAAACTAGGGAACCTTAACTGGCTATGAGGATGGTTGACATTGTTATTTTAAGCTAATGGTGCCTAGAACACATCTTTTAAAAATTAGAATAGTAATTCTCAGTCAGGTGTAGGGGGGTAGTCTGCATCCCTAAATGAATGTCTTGGTATTTCTGAGGCAAAGAGACTCACAGTATAGGGTATTTTATATTTAGAACCCCACATATTCCTAATATGCACTGTCAAAAATCAAGTTCGACAAAATTGCCTCGGCTGTTGACATGAGTTTTGTTTTGTTTTTAACTAACAAGAACAGGACTTTATTTATGAAATATGCAGAAGACAGGTGGGGGTTCCAGGAGGAAATGGAGAAGGGGGAGGGGTGACTGTGGGCGTCAGTGGGCCTCCTGCCTGCTCCAAGACTGGAAGGAGACAGGCTGAGTGCCTCCCTCTCCTGCTTTCAAGGCCCCCCAGGCCTCGGACTGCTGGGTCTGCTGGGCCACTCAGCTGTCCCTGCAAAACTTCAGGGAAGGGGTGGGAATGCGATGCTGTCTCTGTGGGCAGAGTGACCGACCTGGTGAGGGAGTCAGTTCATAGCAGCAGCACTTTGGGCTCTCTCAGGGGCTGTTCCCCCTAGCAAAGCTGGATGCATGACCCGCATCCCCCTCCCCACAACGTTCCTCCAAGGAACTGGTGAGGAACGTGTACCTACTGTGAGAAACACCGTCACCTGTCCAAGGCCAAAGGATGGACACGGCGACTTTAATTACGGCCTTGCAAGGTTCAGGTGTCTGACAGGCAGGTACATGGAAAAGGGCTGTAACAAGCAATTTATTTCCTAGTTTGCAAGTCCCTGCCCCCGCCTCCTCATTGGCTGAGAGTACTATGGGGTTCACAGTCTTCCTGGATGAGGTCTAAAAGTACCCCAATTTACTACCCCCTTGTAGGAAATTTCTTTGTCTGAGGGCTCAGGACAAGGTCCACTGAAACCTTGTGAAAGGTGAAAGACTAGGGAATGAAGAGGGCAATAAAGGGCTCAGTAAAGGGCTAGTAACTTATTACCATCTGAAGGACAACTTTATCCATTTGAAGTAAATAACAAAGGGCTGGTATCTCACTACCATCTGAAGGACAACTTTATCTATTCAGTGACACCCCCCCCCCCACCCCCAGGAATGGGCTGGACCAGTCAGACAACTTTTGGGCTGGACCTGAATTCTTTCTTTTTTTTTTTTAAAGATGACCGGTAAGGGGATCCTAACCCTTGACTTGGTGTTGTC